CTTCTGCAGTTGTTGCTGAAAGACTCTTGGGCTCCCTTTTAAGGTTTCAGCAACAGTTTCAAAAAAGAAAATTTATTTCTAGGAATAATATTTTAAAACTCTGCCTTTATTACTGTGTTTGATTTCTGGTTCCTTTAATTTTGGAAGGACCGTTTATCTGCCTGGAGCTGCCTTCTGCTGGGAACCTGCAGTGGTGCTCCCCATCTTTGGACAGATGTTTAAAAGAAAGTAGGGGAGATTTCAAAATGGGTTTTTATGGGCCAGACACCATGGCTCACACCCATAATCCCAGCACTTTGGGAGGTCAAAGTGGGTGGATCACCTGAGGTAAGGAGTTTGACACCAGCCTGGCCAGCATGGTAAAACCCCATCTCTATTAAACATACAAAATTAGCTGGGTATGGTGGCAGGTGCCTGTAATCTCAGCCACTCGGGAGGCTGAGACAGGAGAATCTCTTGAACCTGGGAGGCAGAAGTTGCAATGAGCCGAGATGGCACCACCGCACTCCAGCCTGCGCGGCAACAGCAAAGCTCTGTCTCAAAAGAAAACAAAACAATGAAACGAAACAAAACAAAGTGGAATAGTGATTGAAAAGTAAGAAAACTTGACAACAGTAAATCAGTGTGCCAGTGTTCCTCCTTCCATCTCAAGAGAAAATGTATTATCAACAGTTACTATCACAAATGCTTGCAATCGTTTAAAAATAAAATGGGAAATGGCGTTCTGACACAGTCCCAGCTTCTTTAGGAGCACAGTCACTTGGCTTACCACCGCAACTGTATGCAGGGTCTGTGCATACCATGGTGCTCTGCACATGTGACCAGGGCAGAAACTCACATTGCCACGGGGTTAAAGTTCTCCCTTTTCTCCATATCCTCAGCAGCACCTGTTATCTTCTTTTTCTTTTTTTCTTCTTATAACAGCCCTTCTACCTGCTGTCATACAGCATCTTATTGTGGTTTGAGTTTGCGTGTAGCTGATGATTGGTGATATCGAGCACTTTTTCATATGCTTTTCGGTCATGTGCGTGTCTTCTTTTTGAAAAATGTCTGTTCGTGTCCTTTGCCCCCTTTTCATTGAAATTATTTTGTTGTTGTTCAGTTATTTGAGTTCCTCATAAATTCTGGATATTAGTTCCCTATTAGATGCATACTGTGGAAATACCGTCTCCCATTCTATAGGTTGCCTGTTTTCTCTGCTGATTATTTATTTTGCTGTACAGAAGCTTTTTGTCTATTTTTGGTTTTGTCGCCTGTGCTTTTGAGGTCTGACTCACAAATTCTTTCCCTAGACCAATGTCCAAGAGAGTTTTCTCTACCTTTTCTTCTAGTGTTTTTATAGCTTCAGGTCTTACATTTAAGCCTTTAATCCTTCCTGAGTCGATTTTTATAGAAGGGAAGTTTCAAAAACCAGTTAAGGCATGGATTAGGACCCAGAAGATTGTCCACAGACCTACTAAATGGGAAAGAAACAGAAGAAATCAATAGCCCAGAGTGAAACCAAACTCAGAAGGAACTGATTAAAGGTGAGAAGAAAAGGGAGCCCATATTGAAGGTGTAGTGGCTCAGGTGGCCCTCAGCAGTGAGAGAGGATTTGAACTGGGGGCACTGAAGGCAGGACGGCTGAGGCCAAGTCTGAGCACTGGAGGTTTACACTGTGTACCTGTGGGTCCTTGCCATATAAGGCCAGATTCCTGAAGGAAATACGGTGCCTGGACGTTGACTTGGTCTAATGTTCATTCTCCGGTGACCTACTGGTGAACACTCAAAGGGCAGAGGAAGAAATGGGAAGATGATTTTTCTAACAGTGGACAGTTAGAGACAGGTACACAAATCAGAGCAGGTTGGCCATTTACATTTTTGCTGTACCTTTAGAGATTTACTTGAAATAACTTGTAATGGTTTCTGATGGTCAATTGAAAAGGGAATAAATATAAAAAAATCTTTACTTCTAACTTGTCAATCCCTTCAATTTGTTATTATTCCATCTAGGCCTAGATAAATAATATCTATAATTGGAATGTTTCTTTCTGATTATAGAATTTTGAAAGGGGTCATTTTGAAAATTCCATAAAAATAGGGCAATTTTACCACAGCTCAAAAACACCGAGAGTTTCTTAAATTGGCATCAATATCTAAGTGTGCCACAAACTGAATACTCTTCCTGCTTTGGACCAGAACGTTGAGGGGTCTATTAAGACCATTTTCCATGAATGTTAGGAAGAACCATTCAATTTTCTGCTTTCTCTTATATGTGATTTGTGGCTGTCTCTTTACTATATACCTCAGTGAAATCAAATAACCCTAATTTAGATAAATTACTAGTCTAGACCATAATTGTAACTGGAACTGAAGATAGACTACTCTATACTACGATTCAAAGATTTGAAATGGCACGCGTAAACAAATGTGCATCCTAAGTGTCGCACAGTGAGAAATGACACCGTATTAACAGCAGAGTTTGTTTACGGATAAAAGGACTGCATTTTAAGGGATCAAGTCACACAGAGTCTGTCGCTTGTGTAAGTTTTTCAGTACCCAAATGGTGGTTAAAAAAAAAAAAAAGACTAATCTGGAGATTTACAAGGTGGCTCTGGACATTTCTTATTTAACTAGATTACCTTTGCTTAGAGCTCAGGAATAGAAAAGTTAATTGTGTTCTAAACTGTGCTGTATTTTAGTGGGGTGACAGGTCATGACTTCTCTATCATTTGTCATATAAACCCTAGAAAGATGAGCACATTTCTTGAGGCCAGGAGTTCGAGACCAGCCTGATCAACGTGGTGAAACCCCATCTCTACTAAAAGTACAAAAATTATGGTGGCACACACCTGTAATCTCAGCTACTTGGGAGGCTGAGGCAGGAGAATCATTTGAACCCAGGAGGCGAAGGTTGCAGTGAGTCAATATCTCGCCACTGTACTCCAGCTTGGGTGACAAAGCAAGACTCCATCTCAAAAAATAAATAAATAAATAAATAAAGGAAATCATACCCCAAGATAGCTTTAATATTAGAGGATATAGGAGAAAATGGACTAGTTTATACAGATTTGGAACAAATTAAAATAAGAGCACTTCTTTTTTTTTTAGATGGAGTTTCGCTCTTGTTACCCAGGCTGGAGTCCAATGGCGCGATCTCGGCTCACCGCAACCTCCGCCTCCTGGGTTCAGGCAATTCTCCTGCCTCAGCCTCCTGAGGAGCTGGGACTACAGGCGTGTGCCACCATGCCCAGCTTGTATTTTTAGTAGACGGGGTTTCACCATGTTGAGCATAAGAGCACTTCTTTTGGCAGATAAAAGTAAGCTAAAATTTCAGGTCATGATTATATAACATAAAAGCGCCTTCTAAAATGGAGTCTTTACTGGACAAAATAGAATGCAAAGCGGTTTTTAGTCATTGAAATTGTTTTTCTCTGTTATTGGACAACGAACAACCTGCAGTTTGGAGAGTCTTTTGTTGGTAAATAGAGAAGACTTTTGCTCAGAGGGTATTATTGGAAAGATCCAGGAAAAAAAAATGTCCTCTATATGACAGTGTGGCCTCGTCATAAATGGCTCAAAATCCACAGCTGGAAATATTCAAGCCTCTGTGGCTTAGGATAAGACTCTGTGTCTCCTCTCAGCAGCCACCAAGACTAGGAGGGATGCTCACCGACTGCCCACAGGAGAGAGCTGCAATCTCAGCTGCAGAGCTCTGTCAGGACAGACTAAGCTGCAGCTTCTCATGAGCAAATGGATGGCTTTCCTGACAAAACTGGATAGCCGTCTTATCAGGGAGGGCGAGGGGGTCCAATGAAGGCAGCCACGAGAGATTGTCTCCAGTGTCCAGCTTTATCCTGATATTTCTGCCAAATTTGCATTCTAATGTATAACATAACTTCTAATTATTAAAAATTTATATATTCTCTAAAACTTCAAGTAAATTTGATTTTCAGAGATGAGATATATCTCTTTCCCCCTCACAGTTACATTTCTTTTTTAAAATAGAAACTTGTTATCCCTTGATTTTCCAGAATTATCATGATGAAATCAAAATCTATAAATGCATAGGTGCTAAGTGAATGTGTATATATACAATCTCCAAAGAACCAAATAAACGTCTTAAAGGACTGAAATAAGCAAAGCGTCTTCTAGCTTCCTGCGTGTTCTGTTCTGAACGGAAAGCCCTCATCAACTCCTTTTATTACAAATTTTGCTGAATCTGAATCTGACTTGAATGGACATTCCTCTTCTGAATGAAGACTTTGGCAACGGATGAGTCAGCGTTTCATGTGACTAATTGAATGCCACTTAGCAGACACTGGGGCTCAGAATAACAATGTCTTGCAATCAGTGAACCACTCCAAACTCAAAATCCATTTCGGAGAGCAAGTTCTACGGGCTTGAGACTCTGGCAGGCAGAGAAACCATCAGCCGCCATTATCACCGGCACATCGTCTGCTGCCTAATTACACCATAATTAGATCAGGGATAATTACCTTGATCTCCATTATTATTGCTGAATCTTAGAATCATAATGTTAGAAGGGAATTTCATTCTCATCAATTTTAACATCCTTATTCAGAGAACGTAAGAGAGATCAGGGAGTGTAAGTGACTTGTCCAAGTTAAGATTGCACAGATACTTATTAATACTATTTAAATTAATTAGATCACTAAATAATGAGTGTATTTAATTGGGAACCAATATTGTGAATGTAGAATATCCACATGCACCTATGTACTGGCCTGCGCAGAAGGAACACCAGCGATGTTCTGTTTTTTTCTGACATGTTCCTATCATGCACTGTCTGGTTCCTCAAATTGCTATTTATGCACTTATTTCTATTTTAATCCTGTTCGCCTCCATCACAGGGTAGGTTCGTGAAACAGCCGAGCCTCTATTGCATGTTTTTTTCTCGGAGTCTCTGCGCAGTGCCTCAATCCTGATGGAAATTTAAGAACCCTTCATCCCACAAATAGTGAACCCTGGGGTTGTGACGTCAGCTCTGGGTCCGAGTCCATTCCAGGGCCAGCCTGGCTCCGACATCCCAGGGAATTGTGTCACTCCCATTGGGAAGCTGTGGTGGCCTCTCCCACATGGCCTAGGTCCACTACTCCGTTAAAGGTCACATAGCCCAGACAAAAATAGGACACAGCAGCGTGTCAACAAGCCAGGCTTTCTCCTTCCTTCCACCTAATAAAAGGTGCCTCACGTTGTTGAAACACAGTCCATTTCCCCTGGGAATAGAACAGGAACGGCAGGAATCTTAGGGATGCTGGCTTTCAAGGAATACCTCATGACAGGCATCAAGATAAACCTGACCTGATGAAGAGAACACAAGCCAGAATCTGCGAATCAGGAGCAAAGTGACTCAGCTTCCGGGACAGGCATGTAATGAGGTCATGAAGGAGGAGACTCCCTGCAGGGCCAGAGAACCCTGCTCCCTGGGCTGTTCCGTCTCTTTCAGGTGAGAGAGAATATGGGCAGGAAATGGCACTTCCCAGCAGGGCCACCCCTATTCCCTGGGTGCCTTCCAGTGTTGGGTCTGAGACTTCAGTTCAGGCTCTATCTCAAAGACAGACACATATTGTTTTCTCAGTTGGGGCCTCCCACGAGCCTAAGAACTATAACAATTTTTGCAAATATGTCAGTCACTTGGAAGGTATTTTAACAGGCTGTTAGCGGAGGGTAGGTAAAGCAATGTTTAAATGAAAAGGGAAACTCTTGCTGCTATTTTTAAAAAGATGTCTTCTGAACAGAATCTGCCCGGTTTGCCCAGGAGGGCTAGGCCTGGGTCCACTCTCCTCAACCTGCTCCTTTTTGGTAAAAATGTTGAGAGAGGCATATTGTTTTTATGATTGGCTATATGGCTCTAATAAGTTCAGAATCAAGGATACATTTCTTGACTCATCTACAGAAAGAATAAGAAATTTAAATTACACTTAGATGATTTAGGTTAAGATTCTCTGACCCTTTTGCATAAAAATGTTCACCTGAATTTCTTTTCTTTTTCTGAGATGGAGTCGCTCTCTGTTGCCCACAGGGAGTGCAGTGGCGCAGTCTCAGCTCACTGCAACCTCTGCCTCCTAAGTTCAAGCGATTCTCCTGCCTCAGTCTCCCAAGTAGCTGGGACTATAGGCATGTGCCACCAAGCCTGGCTAATTTTTTGTATTTTTGGTAGAGAGGGTTTCACCATATTAGCCAGTATGGTCTTGATCTCCTGACCTTGTGATCTGACTGCCTCGGCTTCCCAAAATGCTGGGATTACAGGCATGAGCCACTATGCCCAGCCTGAATGTTTTATTATAGGTAAAATATTTTCTTCAGTAGCAAAATATTTAGGGTAGGGGTGGGCAATATTATCACAGATTTCTTTTTTTAATCTGAAAAAAATAGCTTCACCCTTGCTACCTTGATACTTCAGTCCATGCTAGATAGTTAGAAATGGTCAGTGCAGAAACATCTTCTTGGGATGCGTTTGACTTGAGATCTGTCCAGTGAGTCAGTTTTCATGCTGATCATTTTCAACTTTCTCTTTCATATTTAATTAGTTTTACTCAAACATTAATATCAATCCGAGCCACTAGGCAAACACAATCTGGTACAGTGTAGACCTTGATGATGGAAAATATATTAATTTTTCCAACATCGAGCTTTCCCTTGTTATGAGGATGCAATTCATTAAGCTGGCAGCCACCTCCATAGGCTTTCTGGATGGACTGGCCACAGGATGCATGCGTGTCCTGAGGTAGATGGGGAAACTTTGGGATAGTTACAGAAAAGAGATCAGCCACCTTCAACAGATGCATACAGACTTTCAACAAGTTAACTCACTCTGGACATACCAAGAACCTTGGGAGGGCTCTAAGAATAAAACCAGATACGGGAACACCAAGTGGGATAGGTGGGAACGGCTATGGCAGTGCACTTACAGCCACAGTGCATGGGCGCAAACACAGGAGGAGCCCCCACACCTTCACTGGGAAAGACGGGCTCACTCACGACTAGCGAGCACTGCAGACCAACAGCACCACCGAAAGAAGGCTCCACAGCTGCAACTGTGATACCTGTGATACGTGTCTTAAAGATACCACCAGAGAAGTGAATACAGCCGTATCACGAGACACTTCTGAGGAGAGAAGAAAAAGGGAATTTGTATTTTACTTTTGTACATGTGATTTCCTTTTTAGTAAAATCCTTGGTGATTTTAAATATCAGGTTCCTAGGAGGGTGGCCATACGTGCCTTGGCTCCTGCTGCTGCCAGGGGCTCGTGGGCACTGAAGATCACTTTCAGGTGAAACGTCTGAGAACACTGAGGGCTCCAACCCCAATCATTTTTGTTTTGTGCAACCCATGGCTCTGCTAAAGTCCCTGTTCACATATTAAAATGGATAATGACTGGCTTTCCCCTTTACTCATTGTATAGCAAAGATGTAATAAATTATTGAAATTGGGGGAACTGTACCACTTAATTTGCACTCGCCAGGGGTGGATGCTAGACGCTGTAGGTCCACAAGCGTTTTCTTATTGTATTCACATAAAGCATTTGTCATTCTCCGTAAGTACACGTTGGAGGAGACATGGCTGCTAATTCCATATTGAAGTGCACAAGACACCAATGACCGAGTAACCTCGGCAAAGCAGAGACAGCTGGAGTGGGAAGGTCTTCTCTCTTAGAAGGAAGCTGCAAGGAGACAGGTCCAAAATGAAGATGAGGAAACAGCCTGCATTCCTGAGGGATTTGTTTGCTTTTGAAGTTTTAAATAATGGCTGGTTCTAAAGGTTTCCCTGCTGGAATTGCACTTTGGGTCTCTCAGATCTGGATGGTTCTCTGAGGCTGATGAGCCTGTGGGTGGTGGCAGCCCCGTGCCTCTGGTGCAGGCAGCCGAGGAACTGGCATCTGACTCTGGGGGTCAGGGAGATGGGTTAGTGGGTGAGCCCAGAATCTTCAAGTCCACTGTTGGCCCTTGAAGCTTTTCTTCATCTCATCACAGGGACTTCAATCAGGAAGGTGCCCAACGCAAAGACGGTGGTCCCCACTCCTGGATCCAGTGTTCAAACACCCACTGTGGTGACATCATCTCCGTGTCTGTACAGGGCATGGGGTGTGTGGTTAGAGCTGGAGTTGGAGGGAACAGAGAGGGAACAGTTGTAGCTTCCACTCGCATACGCTTCTTGTCTCAATGCCCAGAACCTGCCCCTGGGACAGGATTGAGCAGGTGCCTGTGTGTGCAGAAGTCCTGGTGGGAGAGCCCTTTGGGTACCATGTTTGCAGCACGATTGTATGAGACCCCTCACAGCTGCTTGGTTCGGCCTCTCCATCCTCTCTCTCCCGGCGTACATCATCCCTCATCACTGGAAGGAATTACAAGTATTATGTAAACAATGACAAGTATTCTACAAACAATGAACATGCTGCTTTGGCCCATCTATTTGTAAGAAAAACGTGGGGTTTTATGGAAATGAGTGACAGCTCTGAACGCCTGGCACCATCACAAATATCTCGGTGCAAAACATCAAGTTTATGCCTCCCTTCTGTGCTACAAAGGTCGTGTGTGCAACTCACTGATGGGATTCCCATTTCATTTTCTAAAGATCTGCTCACTGATCATATCAGTGAGATTGTTTTCACCAAGACCTATGACATACAAAAAACGGTTGCTTCAAAAGCATCTAGCAGCTAATCGCTGATCATCCAGGTGACAAAATGTTAATGACTTCACTCCTATTTATCACTGCACGCTGCACACAAACACCTCTCAGTCCATTGCCAACTTTATCCTTGACTCCTAATGAAACACAAGTGTCTTTGACAGGCGGATCACATGGCATAGGTGCCACAGTGGTTGCTTCAGGGGAGATAATTTCATTCAAGTGCTCTGCAGTCTGCGAGGCGCCCTGGGGCACAGTATTCTTTGGGCCTCCCAAGGTTCTGATGGTGATGGAGCGATATAACATGTATTCGTTTTCCAACATGACATGCTGCAGGGACCACTATGCAGGGAGCTAAAGGGCTATTGAGCTGGACGCTGGACCATTGGCTGCATTGAATAATAAATATTACACAATATTTCTGTTTATTTTTATTTATTTATTCTTATTAGTTTATTTATTTTTGAAGATGGGGTTTCACCATGCTGGTCAGTCTGGTCTTGAACTCCCGACTTCAGGTGGTCCACCTGCCTTGGCCTCCAAAGTGCTTGGATTACAGGGGTGAGCCACCACACCCAGCCAGAAAACCTTTAAAAATGTCAATCTTGGGGAACTAGAAGTACATATATGGCTCCTTATGAAAGCAGGGGTGGTAACTGAATAGAATTATTTTGTTTTTAGAGAACTATGATTTTCTTTTTGTTTTTTCTTCCTTTTTAATATTTTACATAAAAATCCAACTAATAGTATTCCACCGTATTGCCTTACAGAAGCAAATTGTGAAAAGTCAGAACATTTATGTATTTTCACTTAAAAATGAACATTTTCGTTAGCACCCAATGCAACAAAAGTGTATTAAAATGGCATGTCAGCCCCACACCTTTGCTGATGTAGCCACATGGAGCCTAATGAATTGGTAGATTATGCATTTCATTTGCTCAGCAAGTCTTAACGGAGGTGCTTGGATGACCTGACAGAGCCCCGCCCTAAGCACTGGTCCTCCAAGGCTTGTTCGTTTCATGATTTGGACATCAAAAGAGAAGACCGTCCCAGGAAACCAGAGACATTGAGGCTTTACATGTCCACCTCAGAACCTAGATGCCGACTGCCTGCTGGAAATGGTGGTGTGAGGAGTGTGAGGGGGAGAAGTCATCTGAAGGAGCTCGGACTCCATGCTGTGTGCTCTAAAGATGAACTTTAGAAATTGCACATCAGTAGTTATAGCAGAAGGAGCGGTAGGAACTGAGAACAACTCACATGGCTTAGTGCGACTGATACATACCAGTTCAAGCTTGCGTCCTGCACGATAAACCTAATTTACGGATCTCTGATGGCCCAAAGCAGAGCACCGCTGCTCGGCAGCCTCTGATGTTACTGAGGAAGGAAGAAGGACATTAGTGACATCTGCGTCCAGCAGGCCAGGCTCGAGAGATTCCTGGCCCCAAGCGCAGATGCAAGTCCAAACGCTTGTAGGAAGCCTGCTCCCTGCTGCTGGGAAATCCCAAACTTAATTTTGCAGGCCTCAGAGATTTAGATAAGAGGTTGTTTATTTAAAGGAGTATCCTCAAGTCTGTACTCTGATCGGCACCACAAATATTTGACCAGACAGTGATATGCCATGGTTAAGTTGTATCTAAACACTGTGGAATCCATATTTATTTTAGTTTATTCCTTCCATCTGTTAATATACTGAAGAAACAGGAAGATTCCCTCTTAAAAGGAAACAAAATCTTTGAATTAATTTTTATTACTTAATTAAGTTCACTTTAATGGAAACAATACCTTATTTAATGCTGTACATTATTCTTTATAAAAATATTCTTTTCTTCATTTTCAAGCAATTAATGTTACCCACAGAGTTCATGTTAAACTTTTATTCCAAGAAATGAGCTGAAGGGTTATTTAATTAATTTCAGTGATTTGCTGTTATGTACTCTGCGGCTCTGTTTCTAAATCATAATTGCTGCCTACAGATAGAAACATTTGTTATAAGCTAAGCAATAAGCTGCACAATGTGACCCATTTTGATTGTATGTATCTGCTGGAAATGAATGGGATATACTGCCTAATTTGGAGGGAAGCTTGCTGATTAAGTTCTAATAATAGGGTCTAGGCAGGCACTAGGAATAATAGTCTATGATAAATATAGAAGAAATAAGAATTTTAAAATCATGGTAATTAAGTTAGTCTTAGTCATTTTAGAAAGGATACCACCGACATCAATTTCTAGTTTGGTGATCACGTCAAAGCACTTTCCTGTGTCATTGTTGATCTCTTTAGAAAAATGTAGGAAAAAAATGGTTTCAGCATATAGTTTCAAGGGTGAATTATTTCCTTAATATTTTTGTCTTTTGGCCGGGTGAGGTGGTTCACACCTGTAATCTCAGCACTTTGGGAGGCAGAGGCAGGTGGATCACCTGAGGTCAGGAGTTTGAGACCAGTCTGGCCAACAGGATGAAACCCAGTCTCTACTAAAAATACAAAAATTAGCCGGGCATGGTGGTGTGTACCTGTAATCCCAGCTACTCGGGAGGCTGAGGCAGGAGAATCGCTTGAATCTTGAAGGCAGAGGTTGCAGTGAGCCGGGACAGCACTATTTCACTCCAGCCTGGGCAACAGAAGCAAAACTCCATCTCAAAAAATATGTGTGTGTGTGTGTGTGTGTGTGTGTGTGTGTCTTTTATTTTTTACCCCACATTAATTTAAGCATGCACATTTTAATATGCCAGACATAAAATGGAATGATTTTAGTTTTTTTTCTCTTCCCGTAGCCCCTACGTAAAGAAAAATATCTGCTTTTTGTAATATCTTCATATGTTCAGGGTAAAATAATTATTTATTTCCAATCATCTTTGTACGTAAAGATTGACATGTTGACAAGTTGAATTCCTGCTTCATCTGGAGGGCTGCACAGTGTGTCTAAGAGAGGATTTTCAGGAGGCCAGAATATCAAGTTGGAGGGATGATTAGTGTTTTGGGAGATTGCTACCTGTTTTCAGTCAGATCATTGCCACTTTCCCCCCCCATCTGGATACTTCAGGTAAATTGCTAAAATTGTGCTGCCTAAGACTTTTCCTACCAGGAAACCAGTAGAATTAATTAAACAGGGGTCCATAGGGAGATTCTGTTCTCACTGGTTGGTGTTTTGAATCTGATGCCCAGTATTAGGAAATCATATTTCTATACTTTCAGGAAGCTGAACTAAACATGTTTGGAGAATCTTATTTATCTGTCATGTAAAAGGGTTTCAAGTCAGCTAAGTGCTAAAATCGGAACAGTGAGAAGAGGCAGTGCTGAGGAGTAACCCAGGGGTCGAAGCTGGCATCATAGCTGGCATTGAGCACTCGAAATCAAGTCCAATGTGTTGGAATGAAGCGTCGCTTGGACCTCGTATATACTTCATCGTATACAGTTCCACATTATGCTACCCAGTGCATAGAGATGGAGGGAGTCAAACAACATACTTTTGTCTGTATTTCTATTTCTGTGTTGAAACAGAGTGTTATGAGTTTTAGTAGTGGTGGTATTAGGCCAAGAGTGGGCCTGCAGGAGGAGGTGTGCTAGGCAAGTCTCTGCTGCATATAACTCAAACCGAATCATGTAAGGGTTAGGAAAGGAGCGGGCTGGGAGAGGCGCTGACGTTAGGAACGGTCGGATGCCAACAGGAACGACATGCTGATTGATTACTCCGATTTTGATTTCTGGATTTTCTGCAAAACTACATTGGTTTGGACCTGCCAACATCTTTGATCTCCTGAAAGGGCTTCTTTTCTTTTTTTCCTTTTTTTGAGATGGAGTCTCTCTGTGTCACCCAGTCTGGATCTCTTCTCACTGCAGCCTCCACATCCTGGGTTCAAGCAATTCTCTTGCTTCAGCCTCCTGAGTAGCTGGGACTACCAGCATGTGCCACAAAGCCGGGCTCATTTTTTTAGTTTTTTTTTTTTTCTTTCTTTTTCAGTAGAGATGGGATTCACCATGTTGGATATGCTGGTTTTGAACTCCTGACCTCAAGTGATCTTCCCACCTTGGCCTCCCAAAGTGCTGGGATTGCAGACATGAGCCACTGTGCCTGGCCAGGACTTCTGAGTTTCAGTTTGGAAATTTCAGAAAGTCACAGGGCAGCTTCTTATCGGGACATGGCATTGTGGCCCTGCAGTGGACAGCCACCTTGGGGTTGTGTAACGTGGCATTGTGGCCCTGCAGTGGACAGCCACCTTGGGGTTGTGTAACGTGGCATTGTGGCCCTGCAGTGGACAGCCACCTTGGGCTTGTGTAACGTGCTTACCTTTCCTCCAATTACTATAGCCAGACAGGGGGGAAGGCAGAGGGTGATGTGGAGGGTTGACTAGTCAAGTCTGGGGTGCCAGGTCACCCTTGTGAGAAGCAAAGCCACTCTCTCCATTTCTCTCCTTCACTTTGGGTCCCGCCTGGCTGCACACTAGGAATGTCCCCTGGACATCCGAGTGTCACTCATCTCCCACCAGGCTTACCCATGATTCACCATGCTGTTTCTTGCTCCTGGCCTTGCTTGAGTGCTCTCTGGCCTCAATGTGCTCAGTGCACCGTGTGAACTCCCGTCTTCCAGGTGTTTGCATGCAATCATCAGAGGCGTGGAGAACCTACCATGAGCCAGACCCTTTTTCTACCCATTTCTGTGCAATACCTCATTTTGGTTTTACAATATTCCTTCTAGGTAGGTGCACAGTTTATTTACATTTTATAGATAAAAATATTGAGGTGCAAAATGTGAGTGGTTTTCCCAAAGCTCCAACGTTGCACATTTTGGAGACAGGCCTGAAACTGCATTGGAGGGGCTCAGAGTCCACCTCCTTCTCTTCAGCATCACTATGCCCATGGCTGGGCCAGCCCTGATCCTGGGTCTCTGGGAAGGAAAGCCCTGGGTCTCCATTTGCATTAAATGCTAACTAGAAACAGTCACAGAAGATCCCCCTTCGGTTGGTTTCTTTTCTGCTGGACTCTGACATAGTAAAAAATTTACACACAACTCATTTTGAAAAACCAAATCAAACAAAACAAAAGTCCTCTTAGTCATAGCATCAAAACTTAAAGCTAGAGAAGGGCTTAGAAATTCGCCCTGACTTTACGCAGGAGGTAACTGCTGCTGGGGAAACTGAGCAACTCTCCCTCCACACACACAGATGGCTTCTGATGGAGCCAAAACAGCGCTCCTACCCCAGGACCTCAGCACTAGGGGTAAGTCCTGGGCTCTGTTGGAACACAGCGTAGAATAATTCCCACAGCTGGGTTGGTCTGGGGCCACCTGTCAGATTCAGAGATGGACCCTGGATAGATTGAGAAGAGGTTCTGAGAGAGAAGTTTGCTCTAAGGATCCAGCATAGATAAATGGACCCTTTCTGGAAAGATGAAGGGCTCCGCTCTCACTGCCCAAGGATCGCTGGACTTTCTCCTCCAAAGACCTGCCCCTGGAACACAGCCCCTTTTCTCCTTCGCGCTGAGACCCGCCTGGCTGTGCGCTGGGAGTGTCCCTTGGAAAGCAGTTTGCAGGCCCTATGCTCGCTTACTGTGCTGAAGATTCTCTCGATTCTCTTAAGACCCTTGCACCCTGTCCTTGCCACTCCCTTCTCGTTCTCATCCCTCCACCCTCCGACCCTCCCCGAGGCCCTTTCTCCCCCTACTTCAAGGCTGGGGCCCTTTTCCGAGCACCTGGCTCATTGCAGAACAAAACAAAGCCCGTTTGGTGTGAGCCTCCGCGGTTCTCCTAATCGCTCTGATTTTCCATTTGAACCCTCGTTTTCCTCAGCCTGTTTCTGCAATAAATGATCACGGTTTTGAGACCGCAGCGCATTTGGAACCCTTTGGCCCATATTCTTGAACGCATCCTCTTTTAGAGTGCAGACCTTCATCGGAGCCTCCCAGCCTGAACTCCTCACCCCCCACCTCCTCCCATGGGGAAGTTAGGAGAAGTGGGTTCCCCATCAGAGAGCCTGGCAACTCCACTGTGGACACACCATTAAGGTAACCTGACCTCTGGATGAATCAAGTCAGTCAACTTAGCAGGCTCTAAAACCCCTTTAATTCAAAAACTTGGAGCCTGCATTTTATTTTCCTTAGATGTCCATGATTTTTTAAAAATAGGCATTCCAAGGCTGGGTGTGGTGGCTCATGCCTGTAATCTCAACATTTCGGGAGGCCGAGGTGGGTGGATCACTTGAGCTCAGGAGTTCAAGACCAGCCTGACCAACATGGTGAAACCCCGTCTCTACTAAAAATACAAAAATTAGCTGGGCGTGGTGGCAGGTGCCTGTAATCCCAGCTACTCGGAAGGCTGAGGCAGGAGAATCACTTGAACCAGGGAGGTAAAGGTTGCAGCCGAGATCGCACCACTGCACTCCAGCCTGGGAGACAGGGCAAAACTGTGTCCCAAAAAAGCAACAAAAAAAGGGGGATTCTAATTTTCCGTCCAAGATCCTTGCACCTCTCAGCTCACTTAGCCTGGGGTTCCACACCCGATCTCCAGGTGATGTCTGCTTCTCCAGTCCTGTTAGCCGGAAACAGAGACTGATTCATGTGTCACACTTCAGCTCCCAGGCCAGGACTCTGTCACTCTGGGGAGGAAGTATGTTTTCACTTTTTGCTTCATTCCTGCCGTAGAGAAGAGGCACCCACCAAAGCCAGTGTAAACAGCCACTGTTCCACGCACAGCAATGTCAGTCTTTATTCATGATTGCTTTTGTCCTATGTCCTCGTTCCCCCCGTTTCATTGATGCCTTTCAGTTTTCCCTTTTAAATACTTCGGGTGATAATTAAAGGCAAAGAGGACTGCTGGGTTATTCATCACACCTGAAGTAAGAAAAAGTTACCTGCAGGCAAAGGAGCTGGATGGAGGGTCGGATCGAAAGGCCACTTGGCTGTGCATGGGCAAGAAAGAACGGAATGCTTTTGAAGAGAGAAATGTTATTCTAGATTTCCGCTGAGAGAAGGAATGCTGAGTGCTCCTGATGGGGGGGCTTTAGCAGGGGTGACATGCCTTTGATTTAGAATGGCTAGCACACGTGAATGCACACACGACCTTCTGCCTTAGTTTCAGGATAAGGGAATTTCTTCTTCACATAACCGTAGGTACAGCTGCATTTACACATATTTACTAGGCACCTACCACATACAGCAAAACACCCTGAGGAGTAAATTACAATCCTCTCCCATTCTGAAGGCACTTCTGACATTGTCTGTATTTAAACTTTCATTAGGGTTAGTGAACAGCAATGTGTTGCTGATAATTCTAATGTTGCTCCTGGGCACGTTGCGTTATTTTGAGAGATTTGTACCCTCCATGTGGGGTTGGAAACATCTGTTAAGACTAGAGCATATCAGTTAAGATTGTATTTTTCCTCCTCCTAGTTTGAGTCCAGATGGTTACATCTATGCACTATGTACTGCAAGTTTCAATCAGCTATCGTAATTTAATTTATTTTCTTTCGGATGTTTAATGAAACTAATATTTAAAATAATAACTCCTAATATATTTCTAATGAGGTCAAAGTTAAAGCCCCTTAAGTGTGTGTGTGCCTGTGTGTGTGTCTGTTAAAATGTTGTAAGATTACTGGATGCTAAGAATGGTGTTTTCAGGCCAGATGCAGTGACTCGATCCCATAATCCCAGCAGTTTAGGAGGTCCAGGCACGTGGATCACTTGAGGTCAGGAGTTCAAGACCAGCCCGGCCAACCTGGTGACACCCCATCTCTACTAAAAATACAAAAATTAGCGGGGTGTGGTAGTGCATGTCTGTCATCCCAGCTACTCAGGAAGCTGAGGTAGGAGAGTCGCTTGAACCTAAGAGGAGGAAGTTGAAGTTGTAGTGAGCTGGGATGGGGCCACTGCACTCCAGCCTGGATGATAGAGACACTGTCTCTAAAATCAATCAATCAATCAATCAATAGAAATTTTAAAAATGCTGTCAGATTACTGTTAAAACTTGTATATAAAGCATATTATTAAATAAAAGTTTAAACATTCCATCTGAGTGGGTTTTCTAAATCTCAACAAAGTGAACTTCATCAG